TAGAACATGCGCTCTCCCTTCCAGGAACAAATGCAGCAATAGAGCGTGTTTTTTCTAGTATCAATAAAATAAGGACAATTGAAAAAATGCAGTTGAACATTAAAACTTAAAAATATGTATTAAGTGTAAAATATAATTTGACCAATTCATGTGAGAAATTTCACATTTTAATAAATGATTCGAATCTATTGCAAAATATTCACTCGGATAAAAAATATGACCGTGAATGAAAACCATACATGGTTTTTTAAATAAAATTTTAAATTAATTAAAAAACATAATATTCAAATTATAGTTTTTTACAAATATATTTATAGTTAATAATAAATATAGTTTTGTATATTTATTTATAAGTAAATGAATGTATACAATAAAATACATTTTTTTGAATTATTGGTCTGCTTTCATAACTAAATTACAATTCTCATTTCATATTATTTGTCCCGCTTTGTCTCAATGAAAATGTGGTCACTTTAATTTAGAACCATATTACAGATTTCAACATCCATTAGTTGACTGATGATTGTGGCACTGTCATTGCAGTGAAAATTATCTGTTTATAGCATCTTTATTTATTACCACTTCCCCACATTTCTTCAGAGATTCCGTTACTTGGAAACTTTTGCTCTTTTGTTTGCAACATCTGAACACCTTACAATTTGCAGCAATCATCATAGCTTAGCTAGTATCTTTTATGCACCATTGGTGATCTATCGTAACATCTAAAAATATGTTGTTCTGCTAAATTTTATTTTGCTTTTATCCAACACTGACAAAGTTAAGCCTGAATTATATTAGTTATTTATTACACTTGCCCTATTTCCCACACATGCTTAAGGCTTAGCTGAAATCTTGAATAAATAAATTTCCACATATACCAAAAGCTTACCTAGGGCTTGCGCTAAACATTTTGCAGCCTGGTGCATTCTCTACGAGACCAAAATTTTGCATCCCAGTGCTTTCCATAAATTCTAAAGATTTTGCCATCCTTAATTTTGTTGCTTCTTTGAATTCAAAAATTTAGACTCCCCTAAAGTATTCTTCCTGGTGTGGCCACACTAGCTCTGGCCCCAGTCCAGAGTTCATTTGAGTTCAATAAAAAATCAGTTATTCTCAATTCAAACAACACTAAGTATAATTTTTTGGCTTATAAGTGTCATTTACAAGGTCTAATTTGTGCATGTGGACAGAAATTTCTCCCTGTCAACACACTTAGCAGCAGAGTTAGCTTCATCCCCAAGTATAATATCAACATAAAAGGTTACCATGCTGTTTCCTATTACTCATATAATATATATATATATATATATAGACATCATTGCACAAGTCATTTTTTGGTTTGCAGTGTGTTGAGTCATGAGGCGATGAAAGCAAAAAATAAAATAATAATTATAAAGAAATCTGAAATTTTTTCAGATTTTATATTATGCAAAAAGGTTTTTTTAATGTTTTGTGTGTTAACTTTATTTATTAAATATCATATTCTTCACATTTAAACCATAAAATTCAATTCAACAGCAACATCACAAAATAATTTAAAAAGAGCATATCTTTAGAATTTCTGATACACAGTCAGCGCGCTGGAGATAAAAATCTTGTTCCCAACCCCCCACACACAATGTTGCCTTGCTTGCTTTGAAATCCCTGAGTTTGTTAATAAAAAATTCATTAAAGTTTTACAAAATATGATATAGATAAGAAAACAAATTCCAAATTTGGGCTTCCAGATGGAGAATTAAGTTATTCAAAATTTATGGCCGTTCTCTTTTTATCACAATGCGAGAAACATGCATACATTTATGCAGATTCTTCATTATTTAATTTCTTTAAATATAATACACGGAGATAATATTTGGTAGCAACAATTTGAAAAGTGATATGCTATTTATAGTGATTCGATGTACAACGCCAAAATGAAATTAATAGTTCTTTTGGGGCTAACACCCTTTGGGCTAATAATGATTAACCGGTTTGCATCGACTCTCCAAAAGGTTAACTAAGAGAAAGTATCAAACGGGCAAGAGTAAAACACAGGAAAAAAATCTCTGGTGATTGAGAGATTTGAATTTTAGATCATTCCAGATGCTGGACATCCAGATTTCAACTTTGTACTGCATATAAAAAGTGGCAGTTAAAAAATAAAAACTACAGAAAAGAAAAAAGCTTGAATGTAATAAATTTAAAACTACAATCAAAATTCATGAAACAAATTTATACACAAAAGATAAACAAAATGGTACAGAATTAATAAATATCTGTTTGTACCTTAATAATCAGAATGAAATTATTGTTAAGTTACTAATTTGCAACAAACATATATTTTACTTTCTCACTCTCTTTTTTTTTAATTGTTATTCGGTTTTAGCTAAGTAAATTTCAGAGGCAATGGAAAGCAAACAGCAGTAATAGGAGAAAACATACCTTATTTTAAAATTATCTAATGAAGTTTTAACACTACTTAATTTTGAATATATTCTACACCTCCATCAGTGGAAGTAATTATAAATGTATAAAGTAAAAATTTTTACATTAATACATTTTGTAGAGAGACAGAGCATGGGAAGCCGAAATTTAAATTCTGATTACTACTAATTCCTCATTAAGCATAGTTGCCAATTTTCAAATATGAAAACCTGGGAAGTTCTCATGCTCCAAACCAAGAGTTTCTGGGAGGTTTTTTGCACTGTGCAGCACCACCACTTCATAAGAACTATGAAATTGACTTAAATTCCCTTTATAATAAAGGTTATTGATGTAAAATATTTGAATACCTAAATAGATGTTCTAAATTTTACGTTCTTTTAGTTAATTTCATTTTGTACATTTTTTTTTTTACTCTTTTATATATTGAAATAATTCTGAGTAGAAAAAGAACGATACTTACTTAAAAAAAAAAAAAAAAAAAAAAAAAAAAAAAAAAAAAAGCACAAATTATTGTGTGAAGAAATTTTGCAGTGTAATATATACTGAAAATGTAAAATTAACTAAAAATATTAACTAACTATTATTGACTAAATGTTGTTAATATAAAATTTATTAAATGTTTACAATATATTAAGATAATTCAGATCAACTAAAATTTAATAAGAAATATTCGCCTGAAATCACTAGGAGTCAGGTAGGGAATGGAATTTGAACATAAATTTCCAGCATATTTTATTTACTGTGAGAAACATTTCCCTGGGTAGTGTTCCCTACAAAGAAATCGGGAAATACCCCCCCCCCAAAAAAAAAAAAAAAAAAAAAAAAAAAAATTGGCAGCTATGTTTAAGGAATGGAATATTATTCCTCTCTGATGAATACAGACCATGTATTGTCCTCTTCAAATCTTCAGTTTTTTTTTAAACGAGTCATTACAAAGTTGAATTTTTTTTTGATTGAACACATGCTATTTATAACTTGATATCTTCAAACAACAAATCAACTTTTCAGATAAACTTCTAGCATATAAAAGCTAAATTACTATTCATTGTTCAAATATTTTAGTAAATGCTTTTAGATAATGATTATATTTTAGAATATGCTTTCAATAACAAGGGATGACTTGTACTTACTAAAGGTAATATGAGACATGAAGAAATGAATAAGTTAAAAAAGCCTAACATATGAAAGTATAAATGTTTGGAAACAATTAGAATATATTAAAAAATCAATTACATAAACTTTGAAAATGATATGAAACATAATCACAGTACGAAAAAAGATTCTGCTTAAAATGTGATAGCACATGCATCACATATAAACTAAAACATATAGTTTTCTGAAAATTTATTTTTAACGTAAGCTGAAATAAAAATAATATCACTACCAAGGCCTTCTGTAAATTTACACAAATAATAGAAATGTATAAATATCATGAATACATTTGAGCATGTAGTTACAGAAAATTTTGGTTGAGTAATTTTAGTGGTAAATTGCATGTACACTGAGCAAAAAAAAGGGGGGACAATTCTATATCTCTTGTTCTACTGGGTCGATTGATGAAATTCAAATTGCATTTCCCATGTCTTGAAAGTGGTGACTTAGGATATATATTAGATTTACATATTGCTTTGTTCTAACATAGGTATTTTGACAGGAAAAACGGACTTTTTCTGAAATAACATGCCAATTTTTTTCCATATTTAGATTTTATGACTCAAATTTTGTAATTCTTGTGAGAAATTTTAAAATCTATCTTGGGGAATATTTTTCACTTTGCGTCAAGAATAATTCACTTGGCAAACTTCTTAATTTATAACAACCTACTTTACATTCGTTTTTCTTCATTGTCCATCAGTGGGAAAAAAGTCATTGTTCATACTTTCAAATAATTTTAACAAAGTATGTAAACCACATTTTCATTATTATCGCTTATAATAAATGCGCCAAATTTCAAAACCCACCAAAATATAAATTCATGTACATCTAAGGAAATTTTGAATAAAAAACTCTAATTTTTTGCAGGTATGCTTAGAAATACATCTACTTTAAAATAATGGCAATACTTTTATAGGTTATAATTCAAATTGTTTACAAAAAATTTATAAAAATTATTTAAAAATACAAATTTAAAAAATAAATCATAAAAAATAGGAGAATTTTATTTGGAATGAATCTAAATTTTGAAAAAAAATTCAGAAATACATGCATGTAATTTCAGAAAAAGTCCGATTTTCTGTCAAAAATTTGTATTAGAACAATGCTATATATAAATCTAATACATATCCTAAGTCGCTTTCGAGACATGAAAAACGCAAGTTGAATTTCATCAATCGGCCCACTAGAACGGGAGATATAGAACTGCCACATTTTTTTTCACAGTGTACCTATGTTAATTATACTATATAAGCAATTAAATTATTTAAATACATTTGAAATTTTGGAAAAAGCACCAAAACACAATTATTTCATTTCAATTAAAAATATATAAATTACTATAAAACAACAGCAATCCATATTACAGGAATATTTATTTGAATAAATGAGGTAGCAAAAAGACAGCTGGATGCTTCCATACATACGACCATAATCACTATACTTTATTAGAGTGATATGAATAAAAATCACTTCATTACATAACATACATACATAAATGGCACCATTTTACTTTCGAAAGATATGCGCATTATAATCTTGCACCACACAATAAAAAAAGTTGAGCATAAAAAGGAGTAACAGCATTTGAAAATATGCTGCAAATTCTGCAAATAAATTGGAAGATCAGTGTAGTAAGTTTATAATCACAGCAGAGATCTAAGGCATAAAGAGTCATTGCGTTTTTGCTCAGTCCTTTCAGTTACACTTGAATGCCTTTGAAGAGTGCAATCTGATCTATAAGATGTGAATTTTACTGGACACTTCCTATATAAAAAGAAAAAAAATGACAGTTAATTCATTTTACTTGCATAATAATTAACAATTTCTAATTTTGCTATGATATCTGCTTGCAATTATTGTATTATTAGACAACAATGACTTCAATGCAATTAAAAAGAATCATGCAATAAAAAGTACATGCTTTTTAAAAAAAACTTTCTACTTTTTCAGTATATCATTAAAAATGTTTTCAAGAAAGCTTTTCTATTCAAATTATGATACCCAGAATTGCCTCACTGATCCAAGTAGTAAGGTATGATCCAAGGAAACATAAGCCATTCAAGATTTCATCTTGATATGGCATAAACTATGCATAATCTCTGCTATCAACATCACTGAGTCAGTTTGGGATGTGCTAGAGAATAAAGTTGAAAAATTTTCTTCCTTTAACATCATTAAGGGAAATATTCACAGCTTTATAAAAGGAATGGCTAAAAATATCTTTAACGATTAAAAGATTTTTATTGGTCATTTCCAAGAAATGCCTAAACTGTATTAATACAGTACTACACACTCCAGATGTAAATGTTTCAGCTTCACTGTTCACCCCTGTATATTCTTACTTAATTTGTATATACCCTGCATATGCGACATATGCACTGTATAATATTAATGAAAAATGCATTTGAATTTTGACACTGGATGCAAGGCAAGAGGCAAAGAGAAGATTTTGCTTACATAGCTTTAAAATTTGGCATCTTTGCATTTTTAAAAGATGATTTTAAGAATGCACTGTTAAAGCCTACTGATATAGAAAAACACATACTGAGTAAAACGGAAACAGCAAAATATTAAAGGTTTGAATTCCTAGTATAATCTTATTCATGTAATCATAAGTTAATTACTTCTAAAGTGGAGGAGAAGACATTTGAAAATTAAATTTATTGTGCACATTACCTAATACATGCAATTTCAAGATGCATCTATTATTTAATACATGTTAATATTACAGAAACTTTTCTTTTTATTACAGTGGAAAAATATTACTCTTAACATACAATAAGTAATGAAAGTGATTAAATATCAGTTAATGTATTGCAATGTGAATGCATATACAGTGATTACAAAATTAATGCTAGAGGAATGTTTAAATTCAGCAAGTTATATTCTTCAGTGGACTTCCGTGAAAAGCATATGCTCTTCTGATAAGTTCTCAACAGCTAATCTCTGAGTTACTATTGCTTAAAATTATTGATAAATGCTAGAAATTTCAGCAAAAAAAAAAAGGACAGCAGATTATATCATTCACAATATCAAACTAATTGAATTAAAGTAGTAAAAGAGGGGGGATACAACTTAAAGTACAATTATTTAGTTTAACATGCTTTATGAAGAAATGTAGTCTACAGAATTATCTTGCAATTTTATCAATATTACCATAGATTAGCTCCTTAAGAGGGTCATCTATTTGGTTCTTGCCCTTTTAATGCATCAGAAGTTAAACGTTCTATTTCTGATATTAAATGCTCTGTCTCCATATCTAGCTGAGTTATGTGAGTGCTATGGGGAAAGTTTCTGCACATTAATATATATTATAATAAAAAGCAAATAATATGCATGCATGTATTGTATAAAAGATTAATAAACATCAGATAAAATTTTTATAACTGAGCTTGCATCAAAAAAGAAAAAACTATTTTCATATAGCTACATATTGTATAAAAATTTTCAAATGTCATAAATGACCCATATATATTTATATTAATGTAATATTTATTAATACACATACAGAAAGGCTGATAGCCTTTGCATGCTTTGCCATAATAAAATAAACCAAACCTAATATATACATATAGTAAGTACTAGCATGTGTCCTACAAAACATCTTTATCTTGGAACGCTGAAATAAATACGCTTTATCATGCTGAAATAAATACACATTCTCATATTTACAATAAACCTTTAACAGAATTAACACTTCAATAGAATAGTATCATTGCCTTTCTTTCAATACATCTTTAGTCGAACGGTTAAACGAAAAATATCAGAGTGAATTATACGATGAGCAACTGAGCACCATCTGGTTTTCAACATTGGCACTATGTGTGTGAGTGTGTGTATATATATTATATATAATTGAAATATAAATTGTAAAGCTAACTAGTAATGAGACGTAAGACCTATTTGGTCTCAAAAATTTTTTTTGCACATAATGCTGCAAAATGATACGAAATAATAGTAGGTAGAAACATTGCAGCAATCTTGCTAAAAAGTTACTAGGAGCTGTAGCTCCACGAAATAGTTCAATGCTGTATTACTAAAATATGAACTAAGAAGAATTTTTTAAAAAACTTATCTGGAAAAACTGGAAAAAATTGTAAACACGCGAAATAAAAAGTTAAAATTAATGTTGGAAGACATGTGAATGCACGAAAAATATCTGACCGTTGTGATATGTGAAAAGTTAATACATATAAAAAGTAGATTGACAGAAAAAATATATATAAAAAGTTAATACACATAAAAAATAGAGTGATGGAAAAAAAAATATACCAATACAGAAAATGGAAAAATTATAATGAAAACATAAATTGCTAAAATACAAAAATACAATAATTACAAAGCGGAAAATGGTAAATTAACCCACTCGTACTCTCTGCCAGGCTTTTCAAGGGAAAAGTGACTGAGTGTACGAACTGGGCCAATTACCATTACACGTTTCGCCAAAACAGACCATTGAAGCTCTTGTTTGATGTGAAAATGTTTTTATAAAACATGAATAGTCCCGAATAAATCTTTTTTGGAGTTTCATTGCTCTGTTCCTTTTTCCCGACGCGTCCGCTGAAAAACACATTAGGGTGATAAGAATGTAATTGCAACTCCGAGCAATGTAAAATTAAAATCAAAATAAAATAATAGCGGTCTGCTATTTATTCAATTTTGATTACAACAACGTACGGGCTGGTGCCTGCACAGCTTAAAGAAGATGGAACTTTTAAAAAGAGAATGGTGCTTGTAGTCAAATTAATATGCAATTAAATTTGCAAGAAAACAAACGTCGTTGGGTCTTATTAGGACAAAAAAAAAACAGACAAAAGGAAAAAAGAAACGAAAAAACTGACCTGTGAAGGTGCCCGTCCTTAGCATCGCGAAAAAATTTGAAAAGGGTGCAAATCCCCTCTGTGTACCTACCAACCTTCTTCCTCGTCGTGTGACGTTGGTGGGAGAAACAATTAAAACTGCATAGGCCAATGGGCTGAGATTGTAGTTTTGGCGGGAACTCCTGTTCCCCCCTTTTTTTATAGAGGGTGTGACAGACGTGTAAAGACACGGAAAGAACTCAAAATGGCATCAGTCAAGTTGTTAGAAGAACAAAACTGCTACAAATAAGTGAAAATGGCTAATTCAGCTAGAGAGAGAGAGAGAGAGAGAGATAAATTGTTTCAAAAGAATAAAAAAAAAAAAAAAGTAAAGTTAAATTAAATTTAAATAATTCTCTTCTTGTATATTGTAGATTGGTTCGCAGCAATAATTAATCATTTATTTGTTTGCATTAAATTTCATTATTTAAAATTTAATTAACTTTACATTTGCTTTTTACGAATAGAGAATGTTTGTTAAATATAAACAGTACAAAGTCTTTAATCCGGACTCGTTAGGACTTCAGCGATTTCGGATTAGGTTTTTTTTTCGGATTATAGCTCATCAATTTAAATCTGGTAAGATGGCATGCAGAAATTATAAAATAAAAATTTGAAACTGTAATTTATGAAATAAAAAGCAATTATGATCTAAAGAGTATCAAAATTTCCAAAAAAAAAGCTTAATATTTATTTTTTTACTTTATTAAACATTTCTTTCAACGCGCGTATGCGTAAAGCATACATTTCGTGCAATCAAAACTAGAAAATTGCAACTAGAAAACTAGTTGATGTGCATTCATGATATTTATAATGATGAAGAATTTGATTTAAATCATATCAAAGACGGAGTACATCGAGATGAAACACTATATTTATTAAGGAATTATAAGCCGAATAAAATAAAAACATCTGCCCTGAAGATGAAGATAGTGCTGACAGATCAACTACCAGTTCATTGTGTGCCACGACATCCCCCCTTCTGCAGAGCAGCATGAAATTGATAAACAGATTTTGGAATGGTTAGAGAAACAAAGGATATGCCTTTATCCATTTTTTGCAGCAATTCCACGTTTTGTTTGATGGACATCGAAACATGCTTTTGCTTTGTAGATCCTTTGGCAGCTCCAGAATCAGAAACTCTTTTTGACATAATCGAAAGTTCAAGCTTACTTTTTATAAAATTGCTCTAATAGTCCGCAAAAAATAATAAGTTGGATCCAATTAGAAGATTAAGGAACAACGCAATCTGCAACATTAACTGAAATAGATAATTAGATAATTTTAGCCTAGCTTATACCGTCCGTTATACATTAAACGTGCATGCATAAACGTATTATGCACATGCGTTTATGCATGCATAGAACGTTTGTAGCTTTGAGGTCCGGATTATAGATCATTCCGGATTATGGACATCCGGATTAAAGATTTTGTAGTGTATATAGATAGATAGACATAGTAATATTTTCTTAGTTAACAAATATATATACTTATTGTCCTTAATATTATTAGACGGCCGACATCGTATTTCTGTATTATGTAACTGTTGCTAAGCAACATCAGAAAATGTTTCAGAAATTTTTTTTTTTTTTTAATTTTGAAAATGAAAATGTAGCAGTGAGCTAAAGTCAGAAGTCTGCCATTTTAACGGCAGTTATTGAAGCAAATCATTCAAAGGTCATCTTCTGTGTTTTTATAACTTGCATCCCAGCGAAGAAGTGTCAGAACAGGATTGTTGATCTCCAAAGGAAGATTAACTTTTGGTTTTCTTAAAAAAAGATTTATTGGATTTTAATATTTTTTTTCAGAGTTATATATAAATGGTATATAAGTTTTTGTTTAAATTAATGGATACTAAAAATATTAGACCTAAAATTATAATTGATATTGTGGTAAGGAACAATTAAAAAAAATATTATTTAAGCTTTACTGTTTATTTGTATACAATTTTTTGTTTATGGAATAGTTGGATTTTTTTATGTAGATAATGGATATGTGCAAGCCATTCCAGAATTTATTAAAAAAAAAAAAAAAAAAAAAAAAAAAAAAAAGAGCGGTAACTGTGTTTTATATTTGTCGCTGATCAGGCATGTGAAAAATAAGTAATAACCTCAGGCTGACATAGTGTGATTTTCTATTGTACTGCCAAACTAGTAAAAGTCTTTTCTTAGTTCTTACCATGCAGGCATGTGATAGATAAAAGTTCCTCCCAACGTATTACAGCTTAACTGCATTGCCAAACTGGCAAAAATTGTTTTCGTTATTGCCAACTAGGCGTGGAGATAGATAGTAAAATTGTCAGATTGACGTGAATATAATTCCATTGTATTGCCAAACTCACAAAGGTGTTTATATAGTGATCACCAATGAGGCTTTTCAATAGTAAGTTAAAATGTCAACCCGGCATAGTACCATTTTATTTTGTTGCCAAACTGGCAAAGTTGTTTAAATAATTCTCACCAGTTGTGAATTTCGTACTTGACAAGAGATTAGTAGCATATTTAATATTTTACTTAATTTAAAAAGTGTGTTAGACATATTTTTTTTTGAGTTAGTTATAATGTACTATAATGTTATAGTTTATATTTCAAGTTGATATAACAATTGTGCAGTGCATATTAGTATCATTGCATATTATAATTGTTGTATATTGTTTTTTGATGAAGGCTTATGAGAAAACAGTGTAAGTATACTTAGAGTTTGAGCATAAAAGTATTACCTAAAAGAGTTGACAAGTAAATCTTGATAAAATTTATATATTTTTTAATACAAGTAAGATTTTTATGATTCCTTTTTAAAAAGAAAGCCTATTAAATGTAATTTGTTCAACATGTCATTCTTAGCTAGAAGTGGGAAACAGGATTTAAAAGTACTGGCAGAAGAGTTAGGTTTAAGTGTGAGATCTGAATTTAAGATTGCTCAGCTGCATAAATTGATTACTGAAAGTCCCGATTATGATGAAGAGTTTATTTGAGAATTACTGGCTGCAATTAGAGAAGAGTGGGGGGGGGGAAGAGAACATTAAAAAGGAGAAACAATACGAGAAAGAGATGAAAAACAAAAAAGAGAAAAGAACGAAAAAAAAAAAAAGACTAGAACATGAAAGATAAGACTGAAAAGAAAGACAGCGAATTAGAGCCTTTGAGCTGCAGAAACTAAGCAATGACTGCAAAAACACAGCTGTAAAGCCACGTAACATTTTTCAGTAACATTAACCTGAAATTAGGCAGTTACCTGAGCAAAACCTTTGAAAATCAAAATTCATGACATCATGCCATGTTTTAATCCTAAAGAACATGGAATAAATTCATTTCTGGTGTTATTTCAGCATCAAGCAAAAATTGTGAATATACCTGTTGAAAATGAAGTGGCTCAATGCCTCCTGATATTGTTCAGCTTATTGCTAGAGAACCAGAAGAGGACACAAAAAAGTTT